CATGGAAAAATCCTACATTGGTGCTCCTCTCCATTGTAGAGAAGATAATTAACTGAGCGAGATAAAGCTAGTATATAATCTTCATACTGATCAAATCTCAACAAAATTTGTCTTGGAGCAAGTAAACCAAATAAACAATTGCCCTTGGTACCAAGATGTTTTGGTAAAATTGACCGTAATACCTTAAAATCTGGCGCACCATGGGATAATTTAAACACCATTGCTTGATGCAATCCCTCTTCAATCATAAAGTCTTGCCTTTCCTCCATTGAAAACATGATAGTAGGTTCTCCATGAATTATTTCGATTGATTTTGCGATTGTTTTTGAGTTAATTAAGACAGATTGTTTAGGATTTATAATATTGGAATTGAAAAGAGTGGCGTACGTGATGGTTTGGGGTGGTGGGGCGTGATGGACAGCCTCGAAAGGAGGCCGTCCAGTGGCAGTAGCAGCCATGAGTGCTGCGCAGCTGCTGGCTAGGAAGGAGCAACTGCTACTCAATCCCATCTTTAAAAGGGATTTAAGTAGTTTGCCTTTATTTACATTTACACTTGTAATAATTGATTTGTTAATCTATGTAGCATAAAATTGTTCACACACTAACACTATTTCCTACCATTTTTCTGAGTTTAGGTCAAGACCTTTCTATTTAGTAAGTTCTTCAATTTCAACATCTTTTAAAGATAATTAAATTTTAAAAAAAAAATTCTTTTCATTTCTTGAACATCCGATCAAACCAAAATTCCTAAATTAAGATGAAGGGAGTATAATTTTTCGAATAATATAACGATATATTAATCGACATTGAAAGGTATAGACTTATAGTATGTAAATAATTTAATTTCTTCATTGCCTATATATGGGCTTTCGAAATCTTTGTTCGACTCTGCGTACATTTTTTTCAACTTCCTTTCATCTTTCCTCGGAAAATAATGCATCTTATCAAAATTCATTGCAGAATTGTCGTTTCCTTTGAGCACTAGTCAACATTTCACACGACTATTATATATAATAATATGATCTTTCCTTTTGTGACTTTCAACTATACGAATGCGACTTTTACTAACCTGCACTTACACCACTTCTTTTTATTAAATTTAATTAATTATTTGGTCAGTGTTGTTGGCTTCACGTGGCGGCTAAGAAACTGACGTCAGATACGGTAGCAAGTTTTTGAGAGATATGAATTTGATCGAAGTTAGTAATTTTGAGTCAAATTATAATTTTAAATTTGTCTTAAGAAATTTATTTAATAGGTATATATTATTAATTTAAAAAGGCAAAAATTCTAAACCATGTACTTTAAAACTTGACTTTGCTTCTCACATTATTTGTTTAAATTTTAACGGAGAACTCAAGTGTTCACTGTAAATTTTAAAAACTACAGTATAATACATATGTTTAGGAATAAATATATAAAGGTAATTTTATACCTATCATCATTTTTATGATTTTATCATAAATATTGTTATAATTGATATTGGTTATACGTGATTGGACATGTCTAATTGTCTACTATTCTATATATTAAAAAAAGTTATGTTAATAACTTAATTTGTCCGTTGTGACATAGCATGGACTTAGCCTCCAAGGGTGGAGTTATAGCCGCCTCAAGTTGTTTAGTCGGACATCTTTACTTTAGTCAGAAATTACATTGTTTATATATGTAAAATTCTGACGTAGTAATAAAACGTGTCTATTTGAATTAAGTAATTTTTTGTTCGAATCTCAACACAATATTTTTTTTTGTTTTATTTTGACACCAAGTCACTTGTACACACAATTATTCTTGCATCAAACAAATACATTTATTTTAGATTATTAATTTTAGTTCACCTAAAGAATTCTTAAATATTTCTCAAGTTTCTTAATTCTTATTATTACAATTTAAATCAATATAGAGTTCTATATATAAATAAATTATTTATTTATATTTGAAATATGTATGTGATTAAATAGATAATAATTGTATTTATAATTTTATCCAATATAGAATATACTTTCAAAAAATTCTTTTGTTTTCTTTTTTGAATTTGATTGTGTGATCTAGACTCGTTTGTTCAATTAGTATTTCACTTGGTACACAGTAATTTGTATATTTTTTTATAATATAAAATTAATGCAACAAAAAATATCTTGATTGTTCGTATTTGATAGAATAATGGAATCGTTGATGCAAAATCATTGGACTAAACAAAATAATATTCAACTCACTTATTGAAAAAAATATGTTCTTAAATATTGTTGATAAAAAAAATGTCCTTTGACAATCAAACCCAAAAGACAAACATCTTAAAGATCGAAGCAAATAATGTTTCAATTGTTATTTTTTAATCATTCATGTCTAATATGACTAGTCCGATTAATTTAATTAGATTTTTTTTTGTTTTTCATCCGGTGTTCGGTATCAACATTGGAGCTTGATTAAATTCGGATTCGAACCGGAAAGTCCTACATTAGAGATAAAGCGTTCCCTAACAAAGGCGACTCTGTACCAAGGAGGCTCGAACCCGAGACCTCTTGGTTAAGGATGAAGAAGTACTTACCAGTTACCACTCCACCACAACCCTTGTTGGTAATTTAATTAGATTTGTATTATAACATACTCATCAGTCATCAGGAGGAATTTTAGCATGAGCAAAAGAACTTTATTTACAGATATTTCAAATTTAAGATTTTTAATTAAGAATAATTTTTTTCTACTATTATAACACTATATAAATTCCCTTAATTTCTTCTAAAGAGTATTCATATTCATATGTAACTCTAAAATTATCTCTTTCGGAAACAGTTCACATTTCACACCACCATTAATATATATTTTGACTTTCTTATTATTGTAATTTCATTTTCCAACTAAGAATACGGCATTCACCTACCTTTCTCACAAACACTTTCTAATAGTATATTCCTATCTATGTCAAATATTAAATTCGTTCGCATCCACTATAATATTATAATCTGGTAAAAGATAATCATTGAATGGGAGCTAGGTAAGAAACCACCTTAATTATTTTATTTTAGTGTACCATATGTCGCATCAACTTTATGGCCAACACCTTATCATTGGTGTTTATAGCGTTTTTCCTTAGTGGAAATTAGATACTTCATTAAATTTACTCAACGTTGGTGTTTCCTCAAGGAGATTTAATTTTATAGTCCATCACAAATATTATTTTAGTTTATGATTCTTTTGACAGAAGATCAGTAAAAATAGCATAAGAGTATGTAAGAATAATACAATGCAGTTTTTATAGGATTGTTTTCTTCTATTCAATGATAGAAATTGACATAAGAGATAGTTTCCTTGGTCCTTTAATTTTTAGTGGATAACTCTCTATGTACAACCTTGTTAATTGGACATTTGGACTAAGTTAATCACATTATCAGATGTAAGTTTTTGCCTCCATCTTTTTCGATTAACTTTTTTTTTGTAAATTTATTTTAAGTTTTCTGTATACATATTTAGTTTTGATTCCATAAAAACTACTACTCATATACTTTTTACTTTAGGATAGTAGTACGTAGTTGCTATCCTAGCTGAACACAGTGGCGGAGCCAGCCAAGATTTTTAGTATATCCTACCTGAACCCCTGAAGTAATGTTCCTACTATATATTATCACATTTCAGTTTTTGGAAAGTACTATACAAATAATTCGTTAGTAACATTATTTTATTATTTGATGATTAACTCATTTTGATTTTTAAAAAATGGTGATTAACATAGAAAAAACGTTTTGTTCTCTCTTTTTATTTTTAAATTAAATATTTTAAGAGACAAAATTGCGCTCCATAATTTTGGGAAAATGTCTTAAACTGAGACTCCTAGAAAACAAGAAATTAGCGATAGACAAAATTTCATAGCTAAACAACAAAAATCTCATGCTAATTCAATTTAACTGCGAATTATAACAAAATTCATTTAGCTAGAAGCTATTTAGCTATTGATTACTTACAAATTCGTAGCTAATTTTCTATTTTCGTGAAACATAATTTGGAATGGAGAAAATAAACGATAAAAAAATATATTGATTTTTTTACGAGATCTAAAGAAAATTGGGGGTTTTATATTTATAATTGGAGGTGGAAGTATTATAACTAGAATTCGAAAATAGGACGGAGAAATAATTTAGTAATGCGTGAAAGGACCAGGAGAGCACGACTAGCTTGGACTTCAATCTCACACACACACATACTATTTGTATATTCCAAAATGGCAACCATAGTAGGTCATGAAATAGGAATCTGTTTGTTTCATGCATGCAATATAATGAAATAAATAAAAATGTTGAGCAATAATTCATCAGTACTCTTAATTAGCTGAGAGAGGCGTTAATGGACACTTGTTATTATTGTCCTCATGCTTAGTTGCTTACCAACTACTACCAAGTTGCCTTTCTCATTTCCGTGGTAGGCCAACTCCAAGTCAAAATCAATCCCATTCATATAAGAGATAATTATAACGAATTATTCTTAGAATTTAAGCAACATATATAAAATTAACTAGTAAATCACAACGTTACTTAATTAAATTATGTACTGTGATTAATGCTTTAACTATAAGAATAAATAAAATTAATTAATGGCCACTTGAACTAAAAAGGTAAAGCAGCCTATTACCATATAATCAAATAAAAACAACATAGACCTACCTATAAAACTAATTTAATTATTTGCTGTGCCAATTTAATATGACCCTAGTTGTTTTTCAAAATGTTATCAGAATTAAGGTCTGCTTAATCATATCGATCTTTAAGAATTCAAATCAAGGGAATAATATTGGAAAGAGAAAGATCAAAAGCAGCCAAGTTTGTCAAAGTGTAACAGGTTGCGTTCCTAGCTACTTCCTGGTTAGACCATAGTCAGTTTCTTAATTATATGCCATTTTGTCATGTGGAGACTTTCTGGTCAAATCATACCAACTAACCACTTATGTCCTTATATAAATACCTCCATCCACATTTCACATTTCTCATGCAATTTAAGCTTATTAAGAGTTAGCTATATACTATCTTATAGTCTCTTGTAAGTTTGTGACTTTTCTTATAAGTCCTTAGGACTTGTAGAGATAATATTTGGAGAGACAAAAATGGCTGGTGTTGAAGATCAAGTTAGTTCTTTACCCAACTCGTTACCGATAACGCCACGGACAGCTCCAATGTTTCATCATGATGATCAATTCGGCTCTGTACCCATAACTCCACGAACGGCGTCTGTAGCACAAACGCCGTCTATACTATCATTACCCATAACTCCACGGACGGCTCGAACGCCGTCGATAGTATCGTTACCTCCTTCACAGTTTCACTCGCCATCTCTTTCTCGATCTCCGTTACTTCTCACGGGAGATCATGCTACAAATAAACCCGTTAAAACTCCAAGGTCACGTGGATTAACCCCGCGTTTCATCACTCCTTTGGGTAGTCCTCTTAGAAAGGCCCTTAAAATGACAAGATTGGATCCGCAAGACGCGTGGTTACCAATCACCGAGTCCAGAAATGGAAACGCATTCTACGCTGCCTTTCATACTCTTTGTTCTGGGATTGGTATTCAAGCTCTTGTTCTGCCTGTTGCTTTTACCATACTTGGCTGGTAATTATTTTTATTTATACATAATAGTATTTATTATTAACCTAGCTACTTATTGATTTATAGTAACTAATTTTTGCAGGGCTTGGGGTATTATTGGCTTAACGGTTGCATTTGTATGGCAGCTCTACACTCTTTATTTAATGGTTCACCTTCATGAAAATCATGAAACAGGACTACGTTACAGTAGATACTTGCAACTGGCATGCGCAACTTTTGGTAAGTATATATCATCGATCAAATATATAGATACTCTTGTTAGAATTAGATGGGAGATGTGGAAATTGGACCGGCTTGAGAAATCATGATTTTAATCTGTACGTAAAAGTTTGCTTGTGTCAAAATGTCCTAAAAGGTCAAATAACGTGAATATTCTTCCCTTTTGTTTATTTTTACATTTTTACTTTTGAAAATATGATAATGTGAAAGCTATGACTGCGCGGAGCCTTAAACTAACTTAGTTTAAACGTAGGCCTGCGCAGAAAATTATACTATTTTATAAATGATTAAAATTAGTCTTCAGTGTTTTGTTTTTTTTTTTCATAATTAAACCACTAGTGAAAATTTTAGCTTTGACAGGACTGATTCTATGACATGTTAATTTTTCCATCTCTATTAATAATTAAATATAATTGGAAGATGTAGTTAGATGGTTGATAATTTAATTAACGTTAATTATTTTTATGATCAGGTGAGAAATTAGGGAAACTAAGCTCAGCGTTTCCACTGGGTTATCTGTCAGCGGGGACATGTTGCGCGTTGATTATTATAGGCGGCTCAACAGCGAAGCTATTATATGAGACTTTATGTGGGGCAACATGTAGTAATCCGAAGCCATTGACTGTTGTTGAATGGTACTTGGTGTTTACATGTGTTGCAGTGGTTTTAGCTCAGTTGCCAAATTTGAATTCAATAGCTGGAATATCTCTAATTGGTGCGCTTACAGCCGTTGGATATTGTACAGCACTATGGACGGTTTCAGTTGCTGAGGGTAGGCTACCTAATGTCTCTTATGAACCTGTCCGAAAGGGAAGCCAAGTTAATAAGATATTTGATCTTCTTAATGCTTTTGGCATTATTGCTTTTGCTTTCAGAGGCCACAATCTCATACTTGAGATTCAGGTAAAAACTAAATTTACTTTTCACATATATTATAATCTTATCAATTGGGTGAGCTAGCCATTATTTAGTTTACAAGATAAACTCAAAAAAGATAATTGAAGATTAAACAAATTTAATTGTTCAAGTGGGTTGAGGAATTTACCTAATTAGGCCTAGAAAGTCGTCAAGAATATATTTTTATTTTTACTACATGAAGTTAGGTACCACAAAAATTCATGAAAAGCATACAGAAGAAAGTTTGTTGTTGACTTTGACTTTTGCTGACCTTTTTAGTTGGACAATTTTGAAAATTCTTACCAACCTTTTGGTTGAAACTTAAAAAGTATATATTAATTTATTTACAATAGGTAAACGTGGCATGATATGTAAAATAAATTGACGATACATATGTATATAACTTAAACTCATTGATTGATGCAGGCGACAATGCCTTCGAGTGAGAAGCACCCATCGCAAGTGCCTATGTGGAGGGGTGTGCAATTCGCATATCTACTCATAGCAATGTGCCTATTCCCTCTTGCAGTTGGTGGCTACTGGGCTTATGGTCATTTGGTACGCATCTTAGACTCTTGTACAAATTACAATATTTGTAGTAAATAATATCAATAACAATAATTTTATTTTCAGATTCCAGCAAACGGGAGTGTGTTAACGGCATTATTTGCATTCCATAGCCAAGATGTTTCGCGATCTGTATTAGCTTTAATAAGTATTTTTGTGATAATAAATGCGGTGAGCTCATTCCAACTGTACGGAATGCCAATGTTTGACGATATGGAATCAGCTTACACAACAAGGTGCAAAAAAGCATGCCCGTGGTGGCTCCGTTCGATATTCAGGGCAATCTTCGGGTTCGTGTGCTTCTTCATTGCGGTGGCTCTTCCATTTTTGGGTAGCTTTACTGGGCTTATTGGAGGAATTGCTCTGCCTATTACATTTGCTCATCCATGTTTTATGTGGCTTAAAGTGAAGAAGCCCAAAAAGTACTCTCTAAGTTGGTGGGTAAATTGGGGACTTGGGCTTTTGGGAATGGCCTTAAGTGGGATTTTGATTGCTGCTGGTTTGTATGTGGTTATTGACACTGGTGTTAAAATTAGCTTCTTCAATCCTCAGTAACTAGTATGAACATGCGAAATTAATAGTACTGAAAAGGTTGGTTTGAACAACAATTTAATTTATTGTTATCTTACTTTGAGTTGGTAGATTTTATTGTACTTCTTTATGGAATTTCAAGGAATAAATTAGTAAAGAATTTCTTGATTCCAAATGGGCATGTTTTTTGAATATATATATACTTTGCACTTACTCTATAGATGAAGTTTTTATTTGAAATAAGGTGCAAATTCTAATCGTAACACGAGTGGGAATTCATGAAAAAGAAAAATTTCATTGTATATGAAAATACAATATTGAGACTAATTACAGAAACTAACCTGTAAGCCTAAATCACAATTTCATAAGTGGTTTTAGGAAGGGTTGGATCTCAAATTAATAAGTGATAGTTTAGGTATGAAACTCACACTTTCAATAGTTAATAGTTTAGGTGGCTATCTCTATGAAACACGTCTCTTTCTTCATAAGATAGGAATAAGATTGTGTAGACATCTTTCTCTCCCGTGGAATAATAATAATAAATACTGGATATGTACGTCATTGTTGGTGTTGTATTAAAATGTGAAGTAGAGTCGTCCAATACACCTTGTGATTTTCCATCTTGTTTGAAGCAATGAATGTGTTGCTGCAGGTCCCAAACCTGGTCGGTGTTAATATTCTTTGCATTTCATAGTCCAAAACCCATTAACATTAAGTACTAGTGTACTACCCTTGGCATTCTTCCTTAAACAAATAAAAAAAGCCACTGGCTCTTTGCTTTACACGATATAACGTACGACCTAAGGCATAAACAAGAATATCATCAACATTAATTAATTAAAGACATGATAATAAATCTCAATTTGCGTTAACCGTCCAAACCGACATTTCACTATTTTTTTTGCTAGGTAGCACCAATAGCCGACACATTCCCAAATCTCCTACTATTTGTTTCGCCTATATAAACAGTGTCTTGAGCATGACTATATATAAGGCACAAAAATTCACTGAAAGCACAATTTCAAATATATATTGTAGTAGCTAAATGGCAGAGGAGACAATGAACAAGGGTACTAATGATGGTGGATGTGGATTGTTCAATTTCATGGGAAAAAAAGAAGAAGACAAGGCTCACCACTGTCAATGTGGAGGAGAAGCACAGTCTCACTCTCATGGAAGCAGTTCATCACACTCACAGCAATTCTAGCTCGGTAAGCTACTTTAACAAGTCTTGCTGAAATTTTGTTGCATAAAGGACAGTAAGTTTCTCTGTTTTTTAAAAAAAAATTCTTCTTATGTTTGATAAGTTGAAATTTCAGTCAAGCGATGATGAGGAAGTAGAAGAGGGCAGTACCGGAGAAAAGAAAAAGGGACTTAAAGAGAAGATCAAAGAAAAGATGTCCGGTACTGACCATGGTCAGCAAGAAAATGAATTGATTCCTATGGCTCCTAATGCAAATGCAACACACGAAGAAGACAAGAAAATAGGATTAATAGACAAGATAAAAGAAAATTTTCCAGGTCACCACAACAAGAACCAGCTGCTCATACTACTTTAGATGAGCAAGGTGAACCAAAAGATGAGAAGAAAGGATTGCTTGACAAAATCAAAGAGAAATTGTCACAAGAACCATGATGACGAAGAGAAACACAAGTCTAACTGAAATTAAGAATTAATCCTCTAGCTTCTGCACTACTGTATGAATTCAATCGCTTTTTTAATCTTTTTATTTGCTTTACTCTATGTTTGGAGTAGTGATGTGATCCTTGTAATTGATTTTCTATTGTATGTTTCAATTCCAAGTAAATGAAATTTTCTATTGTATGGGTGAATCTTTAACTTCCTAGCATTATGATACCTCACTTAACATTAAAGTTACAAAATTGGTTTATAACAGTCACAATAAAGTAATTGAACTTATACATCCAGTAAAGTTATTTTTTAAAATTAGTTAAAGAAAGTGAACCGAGCGTGAGTTAATTGTTCAGAAAATAGAAGGAATGGTTGAAAAGTTAGATTTCAGATACTGAAAATGCAAATTATATATAACAGAGACAAGGAAACAAAGATGAAATCTGTAGCCCAACTAGTTGGGCTGCACAAAAGAATCTCTGGATAACTAACCTAGTTGTAATAGGGCCTGCTGCCAGATCACTTCATTACAGACTGTCCTCTTATACATTGAGAATGGCCCAAAAGTTCAGCAGGCCAGGCCATAAAAACTGCACAATTTTTCTCTGGTCAAATTTTAAAAATAGCCAATTTTGTAATCCATGACATTTCAAACTTAAAAAAGATGGAATTCGATCCGCAGACATCGGCAGGAGTTTGACTTAAGTGCAAAATCCATGACACTATTTTTAAATCTTTCACTTGTTTAAGTTTGAAATTCATGGCAATGCTATTCTGTCAATATCTTCCACATCAAAATGTTTATTTTTTAACGAAATTTTGAACATTGGCTATTTCTCAAAAATCAGTGGCTTAAGCCATACAAATTTTCACAAAAAGCAAATCTACAGTAAATTTAAGTTATATATTGAGTTACAAGTTAAAATTAATTTACTACTCTTATGATCTAGTTACATTACCTAAGGTAAATAAAAGGGAACAATAATAACAAAGGAAGAATGGAGAAGCTAATTCCCATGCATGTTTTCATCATCAACGTCAACCGAATTTTTTCTCAAAAAAAGGGAGGCAGTTTGTAGTTGTAATGTAGTCACAAAATTAAATAATATTTACGTATGGAATACGCACAAGAATTCCGTGTGTCTCGTCAATAATCACGGATACACCAAAGTTTCCAGCCTTATAAAACAAGAAAATTAAATAGGAACTAAATTTATGAATACAATCAACGCGGCATGCATAAGACTAGTATAGAAACTAGAAGAATCAAATTATATAAAAAAGTTGCATGCCAGCTTTACTGTTCAAACTTACGTCTTCACTTAATATGATAACAATATTTATTTTACTAATGCACTCCCAAAAATATTCTGTCATTATAATGTTTTAATATATTATGCAAATTAGTTTAACTGATAAGCTACTTGCAGTCACGAATTAAGTACATGTTCATGCATTATTTTAATTCTACAAGTAACTATGTATACTAGTACATATATCGATTAATCGCTTCAAATAACATTAAATAACTTGTCTCAGTTTTAGTATACTAATCTGATATAGATACAAGTATTTTTATCTCGTCAATAAAAACGAATCTAAAATTTTAACTCATGAGTTCAATCTTTCTATTCTTACCATTGACTTATTAAATTTTTGAATTGTGAATTTATAAACTATTAAATTTTTAATTTTTTTTTTCTTTTCCACATGGATTTTTATGTTTTGTTTAAAAATATTAAGGTACATTTAATATGAACAGAATTACTTATATTCTCCATCCTCATTATTAACACTTAAAATCGTCGTTATAAAATTCAAGACTAAAATTCTGACTTCGCCTCTGATTATTTCGAACTCAAACGCTAAGAAAAATTATGTAATAATTTTATTAAAATTGCAGTAACCCAATATTTTAACAACATCCACCTCTAGATTATTTCTATTATTTATACTCAAATTCAGTGTTAAGTCTTTTTTTTAAAAAAAAAAACTTTAGAAAGTTAACTTAAGGAAACTCTATGCTCGAGTGTACGTTCAGAAGCTTTAATTTGTAGTCTAAGGAACTCAAAGTGAGTAATCAATATTTTCCATCACACAAGTATAAATTTTATATATAAACAAGATCTATACTTATCCACCAAACAAAGTAATTTAATTAACCTTTATGTAGACGTTAATTAAAGTGAAAATTATGAATATGCGCATGAATTGATTACGGCTAAGTAATAGCTAAAATTTGTTAGATTTGTTTTTAATTTAGCAATCTAGCACATCGATCCATTTTTACAAACTAAATGAATTACTAATAACATGAGTTTTAACGCCTGGATTGAAAATTGTAATTAGTACTCCTAGTAATTTTTTGGACTTCTTCCAAATAGAGTATACAAAACAAAAAGACCTAAGAATTTTGGGATATTAGTTTTAGACAAGTCTAACCTATATAATCACAAAATTATAAATTTAGTCCTATAGTCTGGGTCCAACACGAGCATTTTATTTTATTTTTTGTTTGGTTTCTCATCTATGTCCATTATTCGTACTGAAAAATTTCACTTCAAGCATAAAACACTCTTTATAAAAAGCAATTTGAAAATCTCGACCTCTAATTATAAAAATGAATGAGTACTTATTACTCCTTGATAATATTTTTTCTTTTGATTTCCACTCAGGGTTTATTGAAAAATTTAACTTGGATAATTATAAAACGTTGTGTGTCAAAAACTATTCGGAGCAACAACATCGAGACTACGGAAGAAAAACAAGTGGAAAGTGAATACATGGTGGGGTCAGTAAAAGAGAGGATGAAGAAGCTACCTTTTTTGGTTGAGTTAGTTATACTACTACTAATTACTCAATTCATACTTATGCCAGCCTGGCATGGCGCAATGAGGCGTGTTTTCCATTCTGTTACTAATAATTAACTTTACGATATATGCTTCTTTTTCTTTTCAAATTCCATACGCAAACTTCAAACTTCCATCTCTTCTATATAAATACAAACAAATAAACTCTACATTTCTCATTTTTCCTTTATATATTTGTTACTTTCAACGATCATCGACCTCCATTATATATATACTTTGAGAGATCGAATGAGATCGGAAAATGGAAGAAGGTGGTGTTGGATTGCGCTACTACTGGCGCTGTACATGGAATTGGAAGGTGTAGTAGTTGCAGAGGATCCTTACAGATACTTCGACTGGAGAATCACTTACGGCGACATATATCCTCTTGGTATCCGCCAACAGGTATATAATTAAGGATATTTGACGAGATACAAACTTTTGATTATATATATAATAGTTTGTGAGTTTCTAAACGTACGTACGGATTATCAATTATACTTTTGGATGATGAACAGGGAATTCTGATAAATGGGCAATTTCCGGGTCCTGATATACACAGCGTTACAAATGACAACCTCATCATCAACGTCCACAATGACTTGCATGACCCTTTTCTTCTCACCTGGTATATTTCCATCACCTTTTTTTCATATATAAAATAAAATGATGTGTTAAAATATATTGATAGTGTAAGTATTCGTTATATATAAATTAGGTTCCATAATTAAACATCCTTTTATTCTCCTTTGCATGCATATATTTACTTATGAAATGATATAGCATCTCTTTGACACATTCTAATATCGCCGGATAATTAGGTCCATAATTAAACACCCTTATTGTTGTTTGTACACAAAGATCTTACCTTTTACTCCGTGAAATAGACGTTCAATTTTACACTTTACAAGAATACTGTAGATCATGACTTAATACTAAATATAGCATATCTATGTAAGTTTTCGTAAATGAATTTAAGCCTATAAAAAAACTTGTTCGGTTTAATAAGTGGTTTGTTGGAAAAGTAGTCCATGACGAAACGTCAATAGCATAAATGAAGAAACATAAGAGTTTCCTTGTGTATGCTACTAATTTCTTCATTTTCTCTTGGCTTTTCAAGAATATTTTACATACATCATTTGAGACTTTTATACTCAGCCGAACAAATGAAAAACATTTTTGATGAGTTGAAAAAATACTAGTATATTAATTTCTAAAATAAGACATGGGCAATAGATGTTATCAAGTATTTGACTTTTTCAAGATGAGGAAAGTCATAAAAAGCCGGCAATAAGCATTAACTAGCCGCATCTACGCTCCAGGGATTGTAAGTTTCTACCCTATAACTCGCATTATTTTTTTTCGTTTGTTAGGCACCTAATGTAATAGCCAGTTTGGACAAAATTTCAAATTTTGCTTATTTTAAAAGAAATACTTTTGGAGAATATCAAGTTTGTGTTTAAGTACTAATTAATTTGATTTTATGTGTTATCAATATTAGAGCAACAATACGAGGAGAAGCTATCGTTTTAGCTTATTGAAAACAGTTTCTGATACTACTATTCAAAAACACTTATTTCCTCATAAGAACTTGATCGTAGACATCAACTCCCTAAAATAAACACTTTTTAACTTCTCAGAGACTTGGTCAAATAGATCATAACACCCTGACGCCGAAGTGGTAAAAATGAACCAAACTATAATTGGATTTAGCAGTACTAATTAAGGAGGATCGTAATACGTTATACTAATTTACTAGAACAAAATTTACAATGCAGGAATGGACTCCAACAAAGAAAAAATTCATTTGAAGATGGTGTATATGGAACAACATGTCCCATCCCTCCAGGACAAAATTTCACATACATAATGCAGGTGAAAGATCAAATTGGAAGTTTCTTCTATTTCCCATCACTCCAATTCCACAAAGCTGCTGGTGGATTTGGAGGAATTAGGATTCTCAGTAGACCAAGAATTCCAGTCCCTTTTCCTGAACCTGCTGGAGATTTCACTATTCTTATTGGAGATTGGTACAAAACTGATCACAAGGTAAATTAATCCAACATCATTTCATTTCACTTACAAAGTTGAGGAAAGATAATTTCATTTTCTCGTAACCATACACCAGAAAATACTCGTACAAAATATTGTGTTGAAAAATGACTTTTGTCACACTAAAGCACCTTAATCTTGGCATATATATTTCCTTAATAAGGGAAGGGACTAAATTTAGTTTGTCTCGAGGATATTCGAGTTGTTGAGTTTGGATATATTTGCAGGTATTACAAACAATTTTAGATCGTGGAAAGAGGCTTACATTCCCTGATGGCATTCAGATCAATGGCCTCGGTCGTGATGGTGCAAAATTCACTGTTGAACCAGGTATGCCAAGAAACAAAATGGACTCTTTCTGTTTCAAGAACGAATTTCCACCTGTAGAATAATGAGCTGAAAATGGGTGATAATTTACCAGGGAAAACATACAGGTTAAGAATATCCAATGTGGGACTTCAAAATTCACTCAACTTTCGAATTCAGGGACACAAAATGACGTTGGTTGAAGTTGAGGGAACTCACACAATTCAAACTACATTGTCTTCTCTTGATGTACATGTTGGCCAGTCCTACTCAGTGTTAGTCACTGCAGATCAGCCTGCTCAAGATTACTACATAGCTGTTTCCAGCCGCTTCACCACTCAAATTCTCAATTCTACAGCCATTCTTCACTACAGCAACTCGAGAAAAACTGTTTCTGGACTACCTCCTCCAGGGCCAACCACTGATATTTCTTGGTCCCTAAATCAGGCGCGTTCTATCAGGTACAACACCCTTCTTGATTATTTTTTTTGCTGAAGTACATGACCATCTCATCAATAAAATTTTAAACTGTTAGAGAGAGCACACATTGACTTACTAAGCTATATCATGCCTCAAATGTCCTGCACGTTTAGACCTGTTTTTCATCTGTCACACACTTCAGCATTTATTTTTCAACAATGCATGTGATTCGGTTTATTCTTAAATTTATGAAACTGATTCATTCTATGATTTCCAGGACTAATCTTACAGCCAGTGGGCCAAGACCAAACCCTCAAGGCTCCTACCATTATGGTCAGATCAATGTCACGAGAACAATAAGACTAGCCAATCATGCTGGCTTAGTTGATAAAAAACAGAGATATGCAGTTAATGGTGTATCCTTCATTCCAGCTGATACGCCGCTTAAGTTAGCAGACTATTACAATATCGATGGAGTATTCAAAGTTGGAAGCATCCAGGATAAGCCTGCAGGTCGAAAAATTCACCTTGACACAGCAGTTATGGGAGCAGACTACAGAGCATTTGTAGAGATTGTATTTGAGAACAGAGAGAACATTGTCCAAAGTTGGCATCTTGATGGATACTCTTTCTTCGTCGTCGGGTAATTACACCTGAACATCTCAGTCTATACACAAAATATTCATGCACTTAGTTACTAAACAGTGACATACTGTAATTTTCACAGGATGGATGTAGGCAGATGGAGTCCTGCAAGTAAAAACCAGTACAACCTTATAGACGCAGTTTCACGCTGTACCACACAGGTTAGAATCAAAAATCAATTCATTAATTACTCAATATTATGTTTCATAATGCCATCTTTCTAACTTCTGAATACAAAGCACAAAATGTTAAGTTTTTTTTAATCTTGGTATTGGCTTTGACAGGTTTATCCAAGATCATGGACGGCAATATATGTGCCCCTGGACAATGTAGGAATGTGGAACCTGAGGAGTCAATTCTGGGCAAGGCAGTACCTTGGCCAACAATTTTATTTGCGAGTTTATACACCAGTTAAATCATTCCGTGATGAATATCCTATTCCAAAGAATGCTTTGCACTGTGGTAGGGCCAAGGGTTGAGCCATAAGAACATTATAGTTCTTCCAAAGACCAAGAAGAAGCACTTACTAATACTTCACAAAAGAAAAAATAAAAAGCCTTTTGTCATCTTTTCATTGCTGCTAAGCATTTATCACTTCCAACTATTTTACTAATCCATTCCCACACTGTAATTTGTATTATTGCTTATTAGAATTCAGGCATGTATCTAGCATTAGTGTTTGTATTAAGTCACTAATTATGTATAATGTTGTTTAAAGTTCCCCACTTACAAATAATAAGTCTCATAGAGTCTACACATCATGTGTTCCCTGTTGAGAGGAATGGGTAACTGTCACCGAAATAATTAATTGATAACTTCATCAGGAAAAAATACTAACCATCTTCAATGTAGAATAAGGCCAACAATAAAAACAAACATATAAAGACATTTCTCACTTGCTTCTATCGTAGTAACAAGAACTTCTCAATTTGCTTCATAAAGCAATAATAGAAATTTCCTCAAGACAATTATAAAGAGACAAATAATCCAAGTTGATAAATAAGCATGCCGAAAATGCATATGAACTGTTTCATCAGAATATGAAATAAATAATTCTAAACAGTGTGATTAGAATTAAACAAACCAACTACTGGGCAATCCGCCCCAACTTGGTTAGCAGGTATTCAGTGTCTTCTTCTGCTTTGGAATTTAAACGCATAACTCGTTTATGCTCAATTGAATAACCTATAAATTACCTTCTCTCCAGGAGGAAGATAGCGCAAAGGTATGTATAAATAACTCAAGCATACCAAGAACATAGATAGGAGAGAAGGAACTACACTAAAACAAACGTTGTTACCAACCTTGTTTTCGCCATGGAAAAGATGTGTCCTTTCTCTCTTCTTATTCTTCTGGCTCTATCAATATTTGGCCCCAACTTAGTCAATGCTGATACACATCGCCCAACCCCACCACCTATTTTCATACTAGGGGATTCAACAGCAGATGTTGGAACTAATTCTTACATCCCTGACTGCAAAGCAGCAGCTAACTTTCCTCATAATGGCATTGATTTTGTCAACTCAAGGCCAACTGGAAGGTTCAGTAATGGACTCAACAGTGCTGATCATCTTGGTTAGTGTTACTGAAGTTTTAGCATTAGATCTAAGGAATATAACCAATAAGATTTTGAGCAAGCATTCCTACTTATTCTACATGCATGTCGTATATTCAATCATTTCACTATCACTTTCAATTTATTTTATATGGTGGTGTTCGAGCTAAACTTCTGCACACCTCGACTATTTCACCAGGTATGTGCTATCTCCACCAGCACATGTATCAGGTAACTTTGCCCTGTCAACTAAGGATTAGGTAGATGAGAAGAAATCAACTAGTGATTTTGGTCTCTAATGGTATTTGAACACTAGTCTCGTATGGTTTTTACTCATTTCATTGACCGCTAGGTCACACCCTTGAGTGTGGACATTTCACTATTACACATACATTGCTAATGGAGATTAATCTTGTCCTTTCTAACTGCAGCAAGGCTTTTCGGATACAATAGTAGCCCACCCCCTTTTCTATTTCTTCACAGCCTGAAATACGGTCTTCAATTGGGTATATATCGAGGTGTAAACTTCGCCTCAGGAGGTTCTGGTCTCCTTGATGACACTGGCTTACAGCTGGTAAGCCTTTTCATTCCTAATATCTGAATAATATGCTCAATAATCATCTCTCACAAAAGAGTAAGGAAAATACTTTGATCACTCCAACGTCTAAATATGTATTCATACCTATCTCTCTCCAAACAGAATGTCCTTAACTTGCCACAGCAGATCAATCAATTTGTCACTGTGCGCGAAAATTTGATTGCTTCACTTGGTCATGAATCAACAAAAGCATTGCTCGCAAAATCATTGTTCTGTATCAGTACCGGGAGCAATGACATCTTTGTTTATTTCAAGACCAGGAGTACAATGCCTAAAGAAGAGTTTATCAATCATCTCATGGAAGCGTATGAGAACCACATAAAGGTTGGTCTTGTATGTGAAATTCTTCCTTCAATTTGCATAAGTAGAATCCCAAAGATGGTATATATATGAAGCTAAGACATCTGTATATAATAGACTTTGTACAGCCTCGGAGCACGGAAGTTTGGCATCATAAGTGTGCCACCAGTAGGTTGTTGTCCAGCCAACAGACTTTTGAATGGGACAAGGTGTTTCGAGCCCATGAATGATTTTGCCAGATGTTTCCATTCAGCTCTTGACAAGCTAATGTGCAACCTAACCTCAGAGCTACACAGGATGAAATATGCGCTTGGGGACACATACAAAATGACCATTGACGTTATAGATAATCCACATCCCTTCAGTAAGCACTTCTCTGGACAAATTACTCTACACTAAGGATGAAACGTTCTACAATTAAGAAAGAATTTATGATTATACTACAATACACTATCTATGCTACTAATAAAAGTTTTCTCAAGAGGATATGACATAAAATCCTATTGTTATGCGAACTAATACATATTAGATTTCATTCTCTTTACTACCATGTGAGTAGCAAACTAATAACGTGAGAATGATGTTTTCCTTGCATTTCAGACTTCAAAAATGTGGACACAGCCTGCTGTGGACATGGAGCACTAAAAGCCGAAGGAATTTGTAATGCAACAGCTAGTCTCTGTTCAGATCGCAGACAGTACATATTCTGGGACTTATTCCACCCTACAGACGCTGCTGCACGGTTGGCAGCTAACACACTTTACGGTGGTCCAACACTCTATGTTTCTCCAATTAACTTTGCTCAGCTGGCTGCAGAAAAATAGTGTCATTGAACCTACTGAATGAATGTCACAGAAAATTAATTTCTCCTCATAGTCTCTATATATTACTTCCAATAATTTCTATCAGTGGATCCTCTGCCTTAGAGGATTTGGTATCTTTTTCATTATGTGCGAAGATATTTGTAGTCACTCTATGCATCTCAATATTTTGTTGAGACTTGAGAGGACTGAGATGATGTTTCTGTTCTGTGATGTTTTATGAAATTGAAGAAATAAATCACCTTCAGGCCGAGCTTATATACCCCTCCTCACTCCCCCAGCGTAACCAAAAAGGAGGAAAAGACCCACACAGTTTCTTCAATTGGAATCAGCAAGAGAGAACCAATAATAATAGTAATAATGTAAGGGCACATGATATTGATCTATGGAATTAGCAAAGAAGAAAATTAAATTCTAGGTTAAAAAATTGTTGGCAATGTTATTCAAGGAAAAATCTTTAGCATATTTCTGAGGCAAAAGACAGAGCTTACACTTCAGGAATAATGTTTGACTACATAATGACATTTCTGTTGGTACTCTAATATCACTTTTACATAGAACTACAATTTACTAGAGAAATGGTTCCTCTAATTCCGTTTTCTCTTTTTGTCATTTTAATTTAGTGACTGGGTTGAGAGAGTGTAGTCCTCAACAAGGTAAGGTTAAGGTCTGTGTACACTCTATCCTCCCCAGATCTCACTTGTGAAATCACACTGGGTATCTTGTTGTTGCTGAGAGAGAGTGGTGCACTGATGAACAAACAAAACACCAGTATATATATATATATACCAATATATCATGGAAAACTCAAGAATATGTGATCAGCTATCCTCTATGAACATGCCTGCGTCAGAATCTGATCCATAATATCTGCACAAGCAACTTTCATCTTCTGAACCAATTCCATCAAGAAGCTCTTCTCTCTTTCTCTGCAGTTCTAACCAGCGCTCTGGCTCCTCAAACAAACGCAGGATCTGCAAACCAGCAAAATCTAAATTTTTTGTCTATTTCATCACCATTCACATTATTTTTAGCATCACTCATAAATTTTGATAGTGGCAATAATTTAGTTTCCATCATCATGAACTCACAAGGTTATGTCAGTATATTCCTGCTAGTTTATGCCAAAGTATGTTGAGTTTATCAAACGAGAAGCAAATTTAAGTGTATACTTTTGTTTTCTATTTGTCTAGAATGGGATTTGTAGATGAGGCTGAAACTTTCTCAGATTTAGAATCCTTGTTTTGCATTTTGTCGTAAATATTACAGCACATTCTTAGAGCTGGATACAATTGGTGAAATGCTGCTTTATTGATCAAGAAAATTAGAAGCAAAATCTAAAAAAATCCAGTTAATTATGATTTAAAATTCATCACAACAAGCAACTACAAAAGAGTTCTCTTACAATTGGTTAGCAGGCTATTGATGACGTCAATATTAAGGAAAATGATTCAAAGAAAGAACAAGACAAAGAAAATGACTAACTGTTTTCATTTTTGGCCTCCTTGAAGATGAATGCAAGAGGCAGAGCCGTGCTGCAAACATCATTGTTTTCATCTCATCTTTGTTGTAGTTCTCATTTATGTCAGGATCAACAAGACGGTCACTAAGACCACAACTGAGCAGAGACCTTGCCTGCAATTCACATTATCTAGAGTCAAATCATTGAAGAAACATATTTTATCTTTTGCTGTAGGCATACATGCTTCGTATTATTACCCACAACACTAAGCTTTCATGATGAGCTTCCAAGTCTTTTTCGATGGCTCGTTTCCCTGTGATCAATTCTAGCAGAACCACCCCATAAGAGTATACATCTATCTTCTCATCAACTTTGCCATACATGATGTACTCAGGTGCCAGGTATCCAAATGTCCCAACAATGTGAATTGGTTTCACACAAGCTGAATCTTGCTGAGTTTCCTGGTGTACCACTGCTGCTCCAAAATCTGATAGCTAGGTTTCAGCTTCAAAAATCATTAAGTGTAACAAAAGTGGATGTAGAAATTTTATCGGCTACAGGCTACAGCTTATCCGAATCGATCATCTAGGCATCAGATATTCATAAAAAGTTATTGAAGTAAGAACAAATCCAGTCTTCACTTATGTGGCCTAAAAGCAACTAATAGGTCTAGAATTCACCAAGTAATTGATATGAACACCATGATTCTGTCAATCTTTTTTCTATCTTTAATGGTCCCAAATATGCTTAAGAGGCTTATCATAGTTATAGAGGGGAAAACCAAAAAAAAGGAATTAGATGACCCTTACATCTCTTAGTAGACTAGTCAGCAAGCATCTCACAATAGCATAGTTTCACAATGGAAATCAGTGTAACGCATACATTCTAATGAATATGAGAAGCCATCTAATGTAGGAAAGCAAGCTAATAAGAGACTTACTTGTGGGTGGCAATCATCAGATAAGAGAATATTTGATGATTTCACATCTCTGTGAACGATAGGAGGGGTTTGAGAATGGAGGTACTCCAATCCCCTTGCCACTCCTATCGCAACTTGCATCCTTGTGTTCCAATTAAGCTGTTTTAGTCTTTGCTTCAGACTGTCCTTCAGTAGATTATACACGATTGCTTGCATATCCTTACTGTAACTGTAACCGACAAGCTGAATTAAGTTCTCGTGTTTCAGATTACTCAGTATTTCAACTTCCTGAAAAAGATCATCCTCGGCGTATCGTGTGTTTTTAAGGACCTTCACTGCTGCAAGCTGGCCATTCTCGAGATTGGCTCGATAGACTTGACTATGTCCACCCACTCCGGTCAATAAATTGGGACTGAAGTTGTCTGTTGCACAGCTAAGTTCATCCGTTGTGAAGCGTCTGGCGCAGCCCATTGATTCTAAGCAAGCTATTCTCTGAAACAGACTCTTAGCTGTAGCATTATTGAGCTTCTTGTTTCTAGGAAAAGTTGCATTTCTATTCGGCTGTGATGAAGTTGTCGTTGAAGAACATGTCATTGACAAAGATTTTTGAATCTGATACTTGTCTCTTGACTGTGTAGAGCTGCTGGACACTGACAGAGAGGACTCAGATGATTGAAAAACTTTAATGGGAGCACCTTCTTGGGAAGTCCCCGGCCTCTGGAGTAGGATTTTTCCTCCATTATCCATTACTAGAAGGGAGCAAGTAGGAGGCAATTCTTTCAAAATTTTGCCAGCAATCTGATCACTTGGCCTGAACATCAAAAGTCTAAATGAGACAAATAGAGGGAGAGGAACCACCGAATGGATACCTTTAGACAAAAACAGGAGAGGAAAAATGTATACCTGGAGCTGCTGCATCCTACGGCAAGCATTGTGGCAAAGTTTATACGTACTTGATTACTCAACTCATTTATGTAGGTCTCTCCTGCACAAACCTTGATTTGAAAATCCACCTGAAAGAAAAATATTTGTACACTACAGAATTAGCAATTTAGCAAACAATTGGTGGGCATGAACAGTTGAGAGTGTAAAATGACCTTCTTGGATTTACATAGATCCTCATGAATGTGAAAAGTATTTGGATCAAATGTATCATTTGGTTCTTGTACATGAACAGACAGAACATAGTCCCCGGGCATTACGACTAAATTGAGCAAACGAAGCAGCATTTCTCTGCTGCTGTTATCGGATTTGAGACCAACCACAATTGTTCTCCTCTTGGCCTTGGGAACTCCCCTGCATCTCAGGAGTGAGGAAATTCCTCCTTTGGCACTTGAACTACCAAACATTGTACACACTCAGAGTCAAGGGCAACGCCAGCATGCCTATCTAAACATTGAACGAATCTTGAATCGTTTTCAGGGTTTTGCTTTTATGTTTTAAGTTACCTGCATAAATCAGAGCAACCCTGACGTATAACAGCATAATTTCTAGCTGTTCCTGGGATTTGTGGTCCTTCACCATAAATTCCAGTAGTTCAATGTTTGGTATTAGCATTTACTATAAAGTTGATATAAGTACCATACTACCATTAAAACAGAATTAAGACAAAATTTAACTCGCTCCTAGTGTGCCGACATTGCAATTATGAGTTTAAATGTACTACTTCCATTTTTTACAACTTGTGAACCAACGAAATTTTCAACGCATTCGCTTGGTGCCATTGCAACATACCTCCTATAAATTAGTATCAACATTATTATTTATTAACTCGGCAAGTGGGTGAAAGAAGAATTTTTCCTATTTGCCTTTATTTTGGTGGGCAGAATTGCTAATATGCGTGGAAGCTGATTAAGACATTACGGTTATCAATACAGCTCTCACTGATTTAAACTAGAGATAGTTAGCTCTTAGGAAAAAAAAACCAGAAAGAAAGATGCAAGTTATTTGAAATTGTCGCTCTCCTCTGTCCATAATTACTTGTCCACTTTTGAATTGACAAATTTAAAAGTATGTGATTTTTGTAATTTGTCCAATAATAATTGACATAGTGAGTTTACCATTTTACACATATTAATTATGAAATGGATAAATTGAAATTTTAATATTTTCAAGAAATTCTATCTTTTTTAAAGTAGTTAATTGGGGGTATAATAGGTAAAAAAAATTTTGTCATTTCTTGATTTGTCAAAATGGACAAGTAATTAAAAACAACTAAAAAAAAAAGTGGACAAGTAACTAGGGACAGAGAGAGTACTAATGGATGAAACCTCATTCAAATAGGTAAAAGTTTCTCAAGTTCTCCCAGAATGCATGAAGGAATGATATTCAATTTATTTTGGCGGATGTTGCACACAACGCAATAAAAGCGAGTTTAATGGGGCACCAGAAGTTTGGTTATTCATCAATTCATTGCGTGCAAAAGCTCAATTCTGAATTCTGATAATGGCTCTCCTTTAATGTCTCTTTATTGTGCCCTACTCATGTGATACCCAACACAACATACAAACTCTTTCCAAGATGAGTTCCTCTTCTACTTTGTTTGTGCTCAACCCATTCTCACGAAACAATGTACCTGTCAATTGCCATATCAAGACTTACGCCCAATATTTAGTTACTGATGTAGATACCTTGACCTCTTACCTAACCTAGATTAGCTGTATAACATGATCTCTACTCCTATCCACAAATTTGACTCCTAAAATAGGCAGGCATCCACAACTCCAACTGATCAGAGTCATATCTGCTGAAAACAGAGAGAGAAAAGAAACGGAAATATGATCGTAGAATTGATGAATTCATGCTACTAAGCAAGATATTAATAATCTGATACCTTTGTACATTTTCTCTTCATACATTTACTTGCATTCCTCCTATTCAACCTTTCGGCTACTGAAAAGCGTCAGAAAGTTGTTGATTGGATTATTCACGGTCAAATACAGAGGACTTAATTAAGTATGTTATTTACCGTAAAACAAAGGAAGAACATCACGAGTACCATGGTGCAGACATCAATTGTCATAATACAGAGGGGATATAGTATCTAATTAGGAAGCATTACACTTAAACCAGAAGCAACATGCTAGAAGCACACCCCAAACATCTTTGGCAGAAGACTGTCAACACCAAGCAGGTCACGCAATATACCATAAACATATCCCCACCACAGCAACACCTTTCTCAACCCATAGGACTATTGCCAGCCACATCAGCACAAAGTGCACTTATTACTTATCTGCGACCTGCACAAATTTAAGATCATAAGATCAAGCAATGCTCCGTTATAAATACTGCAAAAGGCTGAACATGACAGTAACTCAATAGGAGGGAAACCGAAAAACCCCAACTCCATAAATTATCCAGCATCCATTTACTGCAGATCAAACTATTGACTACTGACACTTCCATTCAGCAAAGCTCTTCAAATGTCTCTTGTATGGAAATCTAAAGCTTTCCATCTTACTTGATAATCAACGCTCAGGGAGACAATTCAATAATTGAGGGTTTTTGGCTTATTTTGTCCCATAACTATTTTTTTTTTATGACAAGGGAAACCCGCAGCCGCTACCCTTTGGGTGCGCACAGGGTAAAACCCCCACTCCTATGCAATAGCTCGCAAAACCACATAGGAGAGGTAACCCGCACTAGGCAAGCCCGGTACGACGAGCTCGACCCAGAAGGCAAACCCCTTGCTTTCGTTGGCAAGGGGTTTCGAACTTGAGACCTCCAACATGGAAGTCCCATAACTATTTTAGGTCCTTAAAAGTGGAATATCACTAGAATTGTTTTCATAAAGGTAAAATTAAACCAGGGAAGGAAATGCAAGGCTTCTTGAGAGCAAAAATGCTTATGTAATTAAAGTAAAGTAAAGTGAAATAAAGATGTATATCCTTATACTTTAAGCTTTTCGGTGAAACATGACTCCAATTAATGATGTCGAAACAATGGTTTTTAGCACATTACATAACATGTAATGTAGCTTACTGTACCTACTTTAATGTTGGTGGTCAATAAAATTATATGTCACTAATTAATACTTCCTCCACTTCATTTTATGTCTTAATTTGACTGGCACAGAGTTCAAGTATCAAAGACTTTTTAAATTTATGGTCTTAATTATGACATGTGAGTTGTTGGACCAAAAGAAAGACTAAAAATAGAAAATACTACGTATTCTTTTTTTTTTTTTTTTTTTTTTTTTTTTTTTTTTTTTTTTTTTTTTTTTTT